CAGAGAAGGGATCATTCTAAGTGCATGTCAGACAGAAATATTTAACTTATGATTATTTAACCAAATCGTCTGAGTGGGACTCTATACCAAGTTGAAGGAACTGCACCTTCTGGACAGATTTGAATAAGGCAGACTGCTCTAGCAAAACCCTGACAGTTTTATCAAATACTGCAATGTATTTAGTATATATATGTACATATATATTTAGTTTTAGCAAATACTGTAAAACATTTTTCAAAAGTAATGTTTTCAGTACCAATAAAGTATGAGAGTTCCAGTTGCTCCATATCCTTGTCAACATTTGATGTTGTCATTTCAGTTCTAACCACTTTATTGAGTGTATGGTGATATCATTTTGTAATTCTGATTTGTATTTTTCTGGTGATTAACAAAATTATTTACATCTTCACATGTTTATTCACCATTTGGACACATTCTTGTGGAGTACTTGTTCAAGTCTTATGTCATTTTTGTTATTGGGGCATTAATATGTTTGCTTTCTTGGTTTGTAGAAGTATTTTTTTATATTCTGGGTATAGGTCCTTTTAATATAATATATTACAAATATTTCCTCTTGATCTGTGTTTTGTATTTTAATTTCTATTATGGTATCTTTGATCAAAAACTTCTTTAATTTAGTTTGAATTTTACATAGTTATCACTTTTGGCTTGAATTTTTCTGTTCTGTTTAAATCTTCATATACACAAAGGTATATTTTGAAATATTAATTACTATACTTTTCCCATCTAAAGCTATAATCAAACTAATTTTTTCAAATGAATCTGGTTAGTCTCAAAAGTTTTACATATGCCTTTATACCATCTATTGAAAAGATAATCCATTCCCCATTGTTTCAGAAGCCTCATTACTGTCATAAGTCAGGTGATTTTAGGTCTTCTCAAGTATTTAATTTTTCTGTTTATCCTGCAATACCATACTGCAGTAGTTAATATAGCTCTGTCATTGTTATTAAAAATTAAGGCTTCCACTTTTAAAACATTATTTTTTAAAAAAATTAGAGCACATAAAAAATGATCATAGGGTACAGAGATATACCATGTTGGCAGAAAATTGTTCACAAGATGCCGCAGTCCGGCTGGCTGCAGCAAAATAACCGGGGGGTGACGAATAACTTGTGTACG